AAATAAAAATGTTTATGATTTATTAGGAAAATAAAGTACAGTCGATTCGATAAAAAATATACTGGACGCTACACTGTAACTGGAAAGTACCCATTAATGGGTGAAAAAGTGCCCATTTCGAAGTAAAGTAGGTAAACTCATTTAATGGGTAAAACGTCTTTACCCATTAATGGGTAAAGACCTTGTACGTCAAATCATGGGGTACTTTTTTACCCATTTTTAAATAATAATTGGCTTTATAAAATGGGTACAAAGTACCCAATTTTGAAATCCTTAAACCAGGATTTTTCTTTTAGAATTTGTATGATTTATGGATCATTGAAAGAGCCACAATGAATAGTTAAGAATACAAAACGTTATTTATATTTATATCTTTATTTCACCATTTTCCATCCAGTGGTCTTTCCATCGTTCGTGCAAGAAATGGTGCTCCCAAAGCTCTCCTGGGATCTCCTTGCTGATCCGGCTAGTTCTGTCCCTGCAAGTTTCAGATTGATTTTGACGTAGAACTACGTCTTTGTCGACTATACTGGGGTGCAAGTCAAAAAATATGTGTGGTGAAGGAGTGTTAGGTTTTGAACGCTTGTAACTTTGTCATTAATAGATGAAATTAAAATCCAAATACGCCAATCGATAGGATATTACATTACGAACCTGTTGAAATAAATATTTTTCCATTTTTTCTGTAATTAAACTTTTGAAAATGTACAAATAATAATTTTATCACTGATTTCATGAAAAAAGCCTTTTTCCCAAACACAGTCATCATATACGAATACCACTTGGTTGCACATCATTCTGCACGAAAAGATCTAAGGAAGAGATCGATTTTTTTTCGATTTTTTCGTGGACAAAGAATCGATCCGAAAAATCAGAAATCGGGATGAAAAAGATCGATCTTCCAAAGATCGAACCAAGATCGCCCAATCCTACCCCCCCCCCCCTCAAATACCTCTCTTAAACCCCCTCCCCCCTCAAATACCTCTCCTAAACCCCCACCCCCTCAAATACCTCTCCTAACCCACCCCCCCCCCCCCCCTCCCCCACAACAAAAAAAAAAAACCCGAAAGCGAGACAGACTTTGACGATCCCTTTTTTCCGGGAAATAAATTTTAAACATACAATCCTAGAAGGGACGAATATCAACATCACCCAACGGTTCTTTCGGAACCACAACATCAAACGGCCCTTTTAAGGGCCACAAATAAAATTAAAAGAGTTGATTTTAAAACTTAATTGCATATAATGGAAATTCAAATAGTTACCAGTGTCTACACCAAAATATGTAACGGCTTGTTTAGGACCATACATTTGAACTTTCATAATTTGTTACATACCAGGAAAAATACTTGAACCAACCTTGAACACTAACAAAATTTCAAATATTGTTTTTATGTGTCCCACACATGAGTTGTTGCAACGTGATCAACAAATCAATATCTATGTGTCGGCCACATACTTAATATATGTACATATAAAAACCTTGCGTGACCACACATACTATTCATTTGCGTGTAAATTTCATGTGTACTTCTGAGTGGATTCTGTTTATGTGTGGTCAAATGAAAATCATGTGGAATTTCACATGGATATTTGTCAAGAAAAATGTGTAAATTGTTTTGAGTCAACCATAACCGAAACATTGAAATACTTGAAAATTTTAAGATAAAGTATAATAGCCAAAAATGCATGAAAAACATCAATTGTGTATGGTTCTACGTCATACTGCGGTCGTGTCTAGGACACAACCCTTTAATTTTTAGATGTGGGCAGAAAGAAATAAAATAAGAAATACCTACTTTTCAAACGAGCAATTTCCATTCGACATCGTTAAGACACTTTGCGACTGAAGCGAGGACTGGAAGATGTTATCTAAGTTGCTTTTCACCCATTAATGAGTAAAAAAGTACTCATTATTCTCGCCCGAAGCGCTCTGAGAAATGGGTAAAAGAGTACCCATTATTTGAAATTGAACTTCACCCATTATTTGACAGCCTCATATAGTCATCAAAAATGGGTCCTTTTTTACCCATTAATGGGTACATGGCAGTTGCAGTGTATGGTAAACTTTACTGATTCAGTAAAATTTACAGTCCAGGTTAGTAAATTTTGACAGCCCACAAGCGAAGAAAATTTACAGAACAGATTGTAAATAAAAAAAATTACCGAATGGATTACCGAATGTTCAGCTGTTCCATATTCGGTAAAAAATTACAGTATACTGTAAAAAAATCTTAATGTGTACACGCTATTTCGAGGCTACTCAGTGACTGGGTAAATCGCACTCAATTTTGTATGCTGTATAGAGTTGTCAAAAAATGAGTGAACTGGCCCTAATAAACAAATACCATAAACGAACAATAACCCAAATAGTCGAACTTTTCCACAAATGGTTTGGATGATACCCCAAACACGTCGTTAAGCAAAATAACCATAACAAATTTATTAGGGGGGTTTTGCTCCGATGAATGGAATCTACCCAGATTCTGGGTAAATGGTTCTGACATAAATTTCGGTTAGTAATGTCGGCAAGAAACGAAGACGAGGCAAGGGATCCGGACGTATTACCATAGAGGTAACTCTAAGACCACTGGGTCCCGAAGAAAATCATTATTATTTTTGGCTCACTCAGTACCAGAACAACGGTCCCAAGCAGTCCCAAGCTATTTCACTCACCCCTGCATGTTCTGCATGAATCCACACACCCCTGATGTTATCTGTCAAACTTTCATAGCGAATCAAAACAAACATAGTGTAGTAATAGAATTTCAACTAGAATAGGGTACGTTAATCGTTTGCTTGGGACCAATAGGCTACTAAAGTGGTGAGCCAATTTAAAATCGTTAGTTTCGTATTGATTGTTGGTATTACTCCCAAGGATTTGAACAAAGGACAGGTGCTTGGTTTCGGTAAGGCCGACATTGTATGGCCAGGATTGTCAGCGCCGATTATTCGAAGTCGAGAGCTTGTACAACAGCAGCAGCTTCCGGAAGATAAGGAGCGGGATGCCAAGCTCAAGAAGATTCGCGATGAGATGGTGAACTTCAAACGGATGAGGCTCAGTCCCCTTGAGCGAGGTTGGTCTGGATATAAAATGTAAAGCCATAGTATAAGACCGCCGTATGCAGTTGGAGAGGACAAGTTTGAAGGATTCGACACCAAATGTGTGGAACTGAAGACCGTTGTCAATATGAAGGGCAATCTTAGTTGGAAGAGACGTCATCATCTGAGTACTGCGAACTCAGCCGATTTTATTTTTCAAGTAAGCTAGAAAACATCTTGAAAATCTTCCGAAGTTTCAAATTGTTTTGCTGAAACAGCTCACGAAATTGTATATACATGCTGTCAAATGAACTCTTGGCTCCTCCTCCTCTGCTCCAGAAATAACATATACATGGTGATGGGAGTGCACCTGCGCACAAAGCTTACATGACTCTTATAAAGTTTGATTACATTCTTGTTTCAGCAACCCAGTTTTGGCATTATTAATATCAAATAAAAATACTTTTTCGAGCATTCCGCTCGATGATTTACATTATCCACCAACTAAGGTTAATGTTTCCACAGTTTCATAATGATAATTATTAATTTGTTTTCAGTAGGTGGCAACACCTTTACTTGTGGTTCAAACAGTAACTACCTACGTGACTTCTGAGCTCTTTTCAATGTTTGGCTCCCGTTTGACAGTTTGACTCGGCTCCCAGATGACAAGCATTTTGAGTTGGTTCGCAGTACTCAGGTCATCATCTGAGTAACCGTTACCCAGTTTCATCCATTAGCACGTTTACTCAAATTTGAGTAAAAGCATGTTTACTTATTTTTGAGTAACTTCCCTTTTGGCTGAACTGAGTGATTTTCGACTCAAAAATGAGTAGCATCGAAATAGCGTGTATACACTTCCTATATAGGAAGTTAAAGAAAATTAACGAAATGGTTGGTGGGGATCAAGGTGACTACATATAGGTGTTCTAATGTGTCAAATTCATGATTCAGCCATGGTGGGTGATACGAGGAGGTCGCGGGGGGGGGGGGGAAAGTGCGGTTTTAGAGCAAATTGTAAACAAACTCGGTCGCTGTCCCATACAAAAATCCAACATGGCTGAATCATAAATTTGACACATTAGAACACCTATTTGTAGTCACCTTGGATTCAGCCATGTTGGATTTTTGTATGGGACAGCGACCGAGTTTGTTTAAAATTTGCTCTAAAACCGCACTTTTCCCCCTCGCGACCTCCTCGCCTATTTAGTGACAATGGAGGCGAACCAGCCCAAGGCTGAAAGCCTCCTTAATAAAGCTAAATAATAATAATAATATTTAGTGACAAAGCTGTATCACCATTTGTTGTTGAGAGAGTGAAACAAGAAACTAAATTCCATGAATTTAATCCGTCGATGTTGTAAATTATAAAATTCCTAAGAATGAAACAGTTTTTACTGGTAATGTCAACAGATTAATCAATTAAGTATAAGTTAATCTTACTTTTAGTGTTTCTAGTTTCTCTAACAACTGTAATATTCGAATATCCCGCAGCTAACGACCTGTGTTTGTGTATATAATATTCGTTTAGTATTTAAATAGCTATAGTTTAGAATTAAGGAATTTCTCACCTATGAGCTAACGACAATACAATGGCATTCGTCATAACGGGCTGTTCAAAGCCTGGTTCTCATTGAATAACCTCCTTTTCGTCTAGATGTAGTATTATACGATATTTTCACTCTTATATCATTATCTTGTAAATAACTCACCTAAATTTAGCTTAATCCGAACAATTCAGTAGCTGATAGTTCAAATTTCCGTAAATTTAAGAATAACCAATTTAGTATTAAGTACTTAATTGTCGTTTCAAAAAAAAAAACTAGATTAATTTGATTTAACGATGGCCGCTTTGTTGTTATTTTGCATCTCTTCGGGTGATGATTCATTCGTAGTGCTATTAATACCTTGACCAGCACTGGGTGTGGCGTACAGTAGCGGAGCGTTAAATGTGGGCACGGTCACGTTTGATTCTGACGGGGCGTAGTCAACACTCCCCCCGGAATGCGCGAAGGATCCTCCAATAGCGTATTCGTCCTAACGCCTACGTCGAGCACAGCCAATGAAACCGCCGGGCGTTCGTATATTCCACCAGACGCTGTTTGTACGGTTGCCCAACGTACCTGTCCATCGGGAGCTTGATGCGTAGCGATAACTCTACCCTTAGGCCAACAATTTCGGGACAGCTTCGGATCGACGATCACTACGATATCTCCAACAGTGATTGGTTTCGCTGGTGTAAACCACTTGGTTCTACGCGTAATGGTGGGCAGATAATCTCTTACCCACTGCTTCCAGAACATGTCAGCCATGATCTGAGACTGAGCCCAACAGTTCCTCCGCATCACAGGACTGTCATCGATGGGAACCCACGACCTTAAGCCATTTGCTGACCCCAGCAGAAAATGATTGGGCGTCAAAACGGGTGATTCATCGTCATCTACAGGAATGTCGGTCAGTGGTCGTGAGTTGATGGTATTTTCAACTTCCACCAACGCATTCTGCAACACTTCGTCGGTAGGTAGTCTGCTAGTTTGTACTTTAGCTAGGTTCAGCTTGACGCTGCGAATCAGCCGTTCCCACGCTCCACCCATATGTGGCGAACCCGGTGGGATGAAGGTCCACTGAGTGCAGCTTGAAGTGAATTCGTTCGCTAGCTTGTCATGGTCGAGTAGCTCCATTGCTGCTTTGAGTTCCTTGCTAGCAGCTTGGAAATTGGTTCCACGGTCGCTATAGATAACAGCGGGAACTCCCCTCCTAGCCATGACGTTCCGAATTGCCATTACACACGTATCCGTGGTCAGTGTGTGAGCGAGTTGCAGGTGGATGGCGCGAGTAGTGAGACAAGTAGCGAGGACCCCCCAACGCTTTTCAGATCGTCGGCCCACCGAGACTAGTATCGGACCAAAATAATCCACCCCCATGTAAGTGAAAGGTCGACTGAACGCAGCCAGACGTGATTGTGGAAGATCACCCATCATTGGCGGCTGCGGTCTTGCTTGATCATTCTTACACTGCTGACAATCTTTCCGAATGGCGTAGTAAGTCGCTTTCAGCCTAGGAATACGGTAGCGCTGAAGAAGTTCGTTGATAATTGTAGCATGGTTCTGGTGGTTCAACCGCTCATGAGTGTCGGAGACAATCAGTCGTGTAATATGATGATGGCGAGGAAGAATGATCGGTTCAACTGCATCACGGTCAACAAATGAGCATGCCTTAGTTCGACCTCGGACTCGAGCAACTCCGTTGTCATCCAAGAAAGCACTGCGAAAGAGCGGGTCGTTTCGGACGATCTTCCTTTGCGGGTCTGTTGTAGAGTCGCGTGTGGATAACGTAGCGATTTCATCAGCGTAGGCTTCCGACTGTGCTAATCGGAACAGATAGTTTTCCGCTTTAGCCAACTCTTGCTGAATCAATGGTCCGCTGGTGCGTTGTTCCTTTCTCATGGAACGCCTAAGATTTTCTACGTAGCGAAATATGTATGCCGTCCGACGAAGAAGAGGAATCCACTTGGAATAATCTTGCACACGTATCACCGGATCCATTTGCATTGCGTGGATAAGCAGGTGTGGCCGAATCTCTTCATCCGTTGATTTTTTGAAGCTAGGGGTTACTGGCCAGCCATGTTCGTCTTCTTTCAGAAAATCTGGTCCACGGAACCACCGGCTATCACTGGAAAAATCAGGAACTCGTATCCACTTTGTTCCTTCATCAGCGACGTTCTGCTTCGTTGGGACCCATCGCCATTCGTTGACGTCGGTCGATTCTAATATTTCACTGACCCGAAAAGCCACGAACTGGCTGTATCGCCGATGATCGGATGCCAGCCAACAGAGGACATCTTTGGAATCTGTCCAGAAGTACCGTTTGTAGATCTTGATGGAGAGGGACGCCAGTATAGTATCCGCTAATCGAACTCCGAGTAGCGCTGCTTGTAGCTCGGACCGTGGGATGGACAGGAACTTCAGTGGAGCCACTCTGGTTTTTGCTCCCGCCAAAGCGCATTCGATCACGTTCCCTTCTCGGAATCGGAGGTAAACTACTGCCGCAAAACCGTTTTCGCTTGCATCGACGAATGTGTGCATCTCTACTTCAGCTTCTACTGACGTCAATGATCGGTAACATCGAGGTACTTCAACAAGTCTCATATCCGGAAATACTGCCAACCACTTCAGCCACTTCTCAAACTGCAAGTCTTCAATTGGATCATCCCAGCCAACCAACGTTCTCCAAATTTCCTGCAGAAGCACTTTCAGGAACATTAGAAGATGTGCAATGAAGCCTAAGGGATCGTAGATCATCATCAGCGTCCGGAGAACCTCCCGTTTCGTTGGTCGACGGCTACCGGATAAAAGTGCTTCATCATACCGGGAAGACAATTTGTACGTGAAACAATCATTTGATGTGTTCCACCACATTCCAAACACCTTTTCCGTCGTTGCCTCCTCGCCGATATTCAGATTTTTCTCCTCCGTTGCTGCTCCTTTCAACGTCGCCTGGACCATGGCAGAATTGGAAATCCAGTTGCGTATTTCGAACCCGGCATGTTCATGGATTTTCTTTACATCTTGAGCCAACTTCACGGCTTCTTCTTCTGTTTCCGTGCTCACGAGCATGTCATCGACATAGTGCCGTTTGATGATAGCGTCGACTGCGTCTGGGTAGTCCTGTTCAAACTTCTTCGCATTGGTATTCTTGACGTGTTGTGCAGTGCTTGGAGAACAGCAGGCACCGAAGGTCATCACCTGTACAACATAGACACTTGGTTCTGACTCATCGTCGTCCATCCAAAAGAAACGCTGGCAGTGCTGATCTTCCAGCAACATTTGTATTTGGTGGAACATTTCTCTGATGTCACCGCATACCGCCACCCGGAACTCACGAAAACGAATCAGTACGGACAGAAGCGATGTTAATTGATCGGGGCCCTTCGGGGCACAGTGGCTGCAGCATCCCACACTAAGCGTATCTTTCCAGGCTTGTTGGGATTCATCACTACGAAAATTGGCAGGTACCAAATTCGAGCATGCGATTCGTGCAGTTCTTCTGGAATCAATTTTCGCACATAGCCTAGGGGAAGGACAGGTCCAAGTATCAGCATCAATATCGATGGTGGAAATATCAAATATTTTAATATGTGTGATATTTGCGAATCTTATACTTAGTCTGATAGTTGTTTTTTTTTGTTTTTGACTATTTTTGGTTTGAAGTGTACATTTGACATTCGTTTAATAAAAAATGGATTTCACACCAGAGGCAAGTCATTCTTTGATGATCTTGCTGGCCACCGACACCAAAATCCGCTCCTTGTTCTAAAAAATTCGGCATTATTTGTTAGCTGATCTCAGTGCACATAATCGGTCGCACTTCTGTCCCAGAAAATGGTCATTAATTTCCACGAATTCTTCATCGTCTGCGAACCAATGTGCTGTCCTCCGATGGAACAGGAATCGACTGACTACGCCTCCCATGTACACGGAGTCCCAGAGTGATGGTTCCGTGGTCGTATTACACTCGATTTGCCATGAGCCTGCAACTGGCAAAATTTGCTGCTAGGGGAACGTCCAGTACCGTTTTTATCATGAAAAGTCGAAGTCGAAATCGATCAGAGCTATCCAAAACGAAAATCTAGGCAAACATGAAAGCTGCTGTAAACATAAACAACAACGGTGAAACGTCATTGAGTGTATGTGTTAAAGTTACACTGTTTTTTTTTTACTTTGAAGCTGTCCGCTTGACAGTTAATATCATTAATATTTATACTAAAAATTATAATAATTACCAATTTGAGCAATTTTTACACAAAATATTACTTCAGATCAAGTTGTACTTCCCCTAGCACATAGCCCTTGCTAATATGTTCGTGCATCTTCAATTTAAGTGCCTCGGCAAGCTCGGGATCCTTAATCATCCGAGTTTCTAAACACTTCCAACGTCTGAAAGCCATCCCTTTACTGTCCGGAAGACGGACGTGATCGTATTTCCAGAGAAGGCAAGATTCGTAACGGTTATTCATAGGACGTGTCAGAGATTCCAACAAAGATTGCGCCCGCTGATCTTCCTTTGAAAGAAGAAGCTTGCTTGGTTTGATGATTCCGAGACTATCAAGCGCAAAGTATGATTTCATCGCTTTATGGAGACCATCGTCGTACTCCCGATTACACTCACATGTTTGAACGCTGTGGTAGTTTAAGTATCCGATTGTATCTTGCTTGCCAGTACAGTTACCATAAACCATCCAACCCAAGCGCGTCTTTACAGCGATCGGTTCGTTTGGCTTTCCTTCACGACTCTTGAATCCGTGTCCGAGATCGGTGTTATCCAAACCGATTAGAATTCGCGGACTTATGTCATGATATGATTCAAGCGGTAATCCAGACAGATGTGGATACTTCCTCTGCAACACGGAAAGCAGCAACGTTTGTTTGTCGAATTTGTAGAGAAGACATAGTGTAGACTCCGGCCAGATCGTACTTCTTTGAGCTTCGCGCCCCGGAGATTTGTAGATTCACCTGTTGCGACTCATTCTCTAACTTTCGAGTACCGCCAGTCCACTTTAAGCACAGAGATTTTTTGGGTCCTTCAACGCCTAATTCCTCTGCCAAACTCTGCTCCATAAGAGTTAGCTCAGATCCATCGTCGATAAACGCATAAGTCTGCACAACTTTTTTTGGTCCGTACAATACGACTGGAACGATGCGGAATAGCACTGTGGACTGTCCCTGATGCAAATTGCAGCTTGGTTCTGATCCTTCCGAATGTGGAAAGCAATCAGTAGTATGTTGCGATGTCGATTGTGTTGATGTTTGATGGTTCACCGGGTTGTGGAGTAAAGGATGGTGCAGGTACGTACATCCGTTTGTACCACATTTCTTCTGTTGTTTACATGAGCCATTGTGCTTACGAAGACATTTGCGGCAAAGTCTGCACTCCTTCACAGTTGCCCACTTCGAGTCGTAACTCAAGCATTCGAATCTACTGCACTTCGCCACGTTCGAACAGCTTCCCTTGCACACTACACATTCAGCTTCGACAGTTTCCTTTGGTGCAATCGACTTCGGCTTGGTAGACGCTTCGGTCGGTTCCGAGCTGCTGGACTCTGACTCAGAGTGAAGATTTAGAAACCCATCCTTCTTGGTACCACGACATCGCTGATCACGACTTGTAGTAACCATCACTGAACTTACATCCTCCGCTATAGTGTACAGCCACGCACTGAAGTTTACAAGATCTGGGTTTGGGTTATTCCGAACAAACCTCGCCCAGTCTAATTTTAAGCTTGACGGCAACCGCTCTACTAATTCGTATCGGAGTGATGCGTTGAAGACAAAGTCGTCTACAGCACAGGCTCGGATTGTCGCAACCATATTCTTCACAGCCAGTGCAAAATTCACCACCGTCTCGAGTTTCTCCATGTTTGGTGGAGGTCGAGGTGGAGGTACACTCCTGATCTTCTTGACGATCGACTGGACAATTGCATCTGATCGCCCAAAAAGCATTTTCAGAGTCGACACAACATCCGCTACGTTTGACGGGTGAAGTAGCTCGCATCTTACTGCTTCCAAAGCCTTACCTTTCAGGCACTTGCGTAATCTCAGCATATTCTCCTCGTTCGTGAAACCACACATCTGTGTGGACGAATTAAACGTAGAGTAAAATAGTGGCCAGTCCTCTAGTGTTCCGTCAAATTCAGGCAGATCCTTGGACACCGCCTGCCGTGCTGCAATTTGGTTCCGGTTCAGAATGCAGAATGTTTCGTCTGCGGTTGTTGCTGCCGGGTATTATTATTATTATTTAGCTTTATTTAGGAGGCTTTCAGCCTTAGGCTGGTTCGCCTCCAATTGCTGCCGGGTATAATCTCGGATGAGTCGATTGTTTTGGAGTTGAATACTGACCTGGAGCGAACTCGTTGACATTGATACCTGCATTAATGGAAGGAACGAACGATGGTCTGGCATGTAATTGTGAAACAGCAAAAGGGTTTATCTTCCATTTAATTCCACTTAATTAATTTTGGTATCCATGACAGATACGTATTTCGACTACAATGTGCAGTCTTCATCAGTGTCATTCCCACTAAAGAACTTATCCAAATCTAACCCCCTTAAGTACTCATCCCCTAGGTAAAAAGTCAAGATCATAGGTATAAAAATGAAACTACAATGTGTTGAATCGGAACCTACCTAACTAATAAAAACCAAAGATTTAAGTAAGCTAAAGGAGAAAAATCTATACAAATCTCTAATAAGGAAAATCCCCAAAGGCTTGGTAGCCATCATAATGAAGTAATGAAATTGGGTTGTTAGCGGAATGCTAAATAAAACAGCAAAAGGGTTTATCTTCCATTTAATTCCACTTAATTAATTTTGGTATCCATGACAGATGTTAGGTAGGTTCCGATTCAACACATTGTAGTTTCATTTTTATACCTATGATCTTGACTTTTTACCTAGGGGATGAGTACTTAAGGGGGTTAGATTTGGATAAGTTCTTTAGTGGGAATGACACTGATGAAGACTGCACATTGTAGTCGAAATACGTATCTGTCATGGATACCAAAATTAATTAAGTGGAATTAAATGGAAGATAAACCCTTTTGCTGTTTTATTTAGCATTCCGCTAACAACCCAATTTCATTACTTCATTATGATGGCTACCAAGCCTTTGGGGATTTTCCTTATTAGAGATTTGTATAGATTTTTCTCCTTTAGCTTACTTAAATCTTTGGTTTTTATTAGTTAGGTAGGTTCCGATTCAACACATTGTAGTTTCATTTTTATACCTATGATCTTGACTTTTTACCTAGGGGATGAGTACTTAAGGGGGTTAGATTTGGATAAGTTCTTTAGTGGGAATGACACTGATGAAGACTGCACATTGTAGTCGAAATACGTATCTGTCATGGATACCAAAATTAATTAAGTGGAATTAAATGGAAGATAAACCCTTTTGCTGTTTTATTTAGCATTCCGCTAACAACCCAATTTCATTACTTCATGTAATTGTGGCTGCGCTTGCTGCGGGTAGCCACTCTGTGCACTAGGATTTGCTTCAGGTGCAAGCGGTGCTTTAGCGTGAATATTCAACTGTCCAAACTCAGGAATATCAGCTGCTTGTTGGCGAAAATGTGTATTCGAAATCTTCCTATGGAAGAACGTTGGTTTATCGTGGAACCATAGAGGTTACTCTAAGACTAGAAGGTCCCGAAATAACGTGCTCAACTTTTTGGCTCAGCTCTGGTACTCTCTTCGGTCCCAAGCTAATCGATTCACCCCTCGAAACATAGGAAAAACCAATAACCCCTAATTTTATCTGTCAAACTTCCATAGCAAATCAAAACAAACATTGCGTAGTACAAGAATTTCGAATAGAATGGGGTACGTTAATCGTCGCCTCATAGCCTAGTCAGTAAAGGCACGGTATTACCATAGAGGAAACTCTAAGACCACTGGGTCCCGAAGAAAATCATTATTATTTTTGGCTCACTCAGTACCAGAACAACGGTCCCAAGCAGTCCCAAGCTATTTCACTCACCCCTGCATGTTCTGCATGAATCCACACACCCCTGATGTTATCTGTCAAACTTTCATAGCGAATCAAAACAAACATAGTGTAGTAAAAGAATTTCAACTAGAATAGGGTACGTTAATCGTTTGCTTGGGACCAATAGGCTACTAAAGTGGTGAGCCAATTTAAAATCGTTAGTTTCGTATTGATTGTTGGTATTACCAAGCCGGAGGCGGCGGGTTCGATTCCCGGTCCGGTCGAGGGAATCTTTCGGGTTGGAAATTTTCTCGACTTCCCTGGGCATAGTATCATTGTGCTTGCCACACAATATACAAATTCATGCATTGGTATTGGCATAGAAAGCTCTCAATTAATAATTGTGGAAGTGCATTTAGAACACTAAGTTGAGAGCACGCAATAAGCTAATATGCGCTAAGCAATAAGCTTGAAATGCGAATAAGAAGAAGAAGACGTTAATCGTTTGCTTGGGACCAATAGGCTAGTCAAGTAGTGAGCCAATTTTAAATCGTTAGTTTCGTATTGATTGTTGGTGGAACTGCGAATGTGCAGTTTGCCAACAATGAGCATCCGATGAATGAAGTTCGTACTGCCTTTCTGGAGCTGCAACCGACGTGGTGGATGACTGGCATGAGTGATACTGCTGTTCAGACTGCAAAACTGGCTCTGACCGACGCTGACCGAGTTGATTCGTACGGAAAATTGATGGATTTCGCTTGCACTGGACGACATCTGAAGCTTGGTGCTCCTCAGGCCTACCCGACGTGTTCGGTGGCCAATTCGTCTCCTGCGTTACTGATCCAGAATCTTCCCCTTGGTGTTTCGATTCAGCTAACCACTCTGCAATCCTCGATGCATGATCTTCGACGTCATCGACCTCGGTTGATGTTTCGCTACTGTACTCCTTAAGTACATTGTACCTTCGTTCCAGAAAACGCTTCTCCATCTCGAACTCCTCTTCCAGTTTTTTCAGCTCAAGTTCTTTCAGCCTTCTAGCCTCACTGCGGGAAGAACTGGCCTTGCTCTTGGTTCGTACTGTATTGGTCTTCTTTAGGGGTGGATTTTGTTGTTGCTGACCAGTCGTTGTGGTGGAAGTACTGGTGAGGGGAATGAGTACGTCCTTACATTCCGGACAGACCCAACTGACGTTGGCGATATCTTCTGAAACTTCCACACATACGAAATTGAACCATCGATCGCAACCATCACACTGCACCATCTGATTATCATCACGCTCTTCACACAACTGACACTGGTAATCACGATTTCTTCTAACATTGCGAATAGGGTTACGTCTAGCAGCGATCACGGTACCGGCGTTGTTTTTCTCGACATTGACAGCGTTTCGGTGTGGAATTGCCCCAGTTCCTTGGGGTTGTGTGATATTGGCAACGTCAGCATTTTCCTCGCCTATGATGCTAGGAGGGGGTATGACCACAAACGGAGATGTGCCACTTGCACTGGTTCTCGCGGTTCCTGGGACTGGATTGTCTCCGTTTTCCCCTATGTGCCTTGGTGTTTGCGTTGCAATGATCGTCCGTGTGGAACTTGACGATTTCAGCGAAATAATAAAAGAATTTTATAAATTGTTGTTGAGAGAGTGAAACAAGAAACTAAATTCCATGAATTTAATCCGTCGATGTTGTAAATTATAAAATTCTTAAGAATGAAACAGTTTTTACTGGTAATGTCAACAGATTAATCAATTAAGTATAAGTTAATCTTACTTTTAGTGTTTCTAGTTTCTCTAACAACTGTAATATTCGAATATCCCGCAGCTAACGACCTGTGTTTGTGTATATAATATTCGTTTAGTATTTAAATAGCTATAGTTTAGAATTAAGGAATTTCTCACCTATGAGCTAACGACAATACAATGGCATTTGTCATTACGGGCTGTTCAAAGCCTGGTTCTCATTGAATAACCTCCTTTTCGTCTAGATGTAGTATTATACGATATTTTCACTCTTATATCATTATCTTGTAAATAACTCACCTAAATTTAGCTTAATCCGAACAATTCAGTAGCTGATAGTTCAAATTTCCGTAAATTTAAGAATAACCAATTTTGTATTAAGTACTTAATTGTCGTTTCAAAAAAAAACTGTAGATTAATTTGATTTAACGATGGCCGCTTTGTTGTTATTTTGCATCTCTTCGGGTGATGATTCATTCGTAGTGCTATTAATCCCTTGACCAGCGCTGGGTGTGGCGTACAGTATTAATTACTTTATTTGTACAGGCTCAATCGAATAAACTTTACAGAGCCGAATTATCATGTGGCGTACAGTAGTGGAGCGTTAAATGTGGGCACGGTCACGTTTGATTCTGACGGGGCGTAGTCAACACCATTTATATACCCACCATGGTGGGGATGTTGTTCATTTGTCAATTTGTAACTCCCAACACAGTTTACCATTTTTGGGTACACGCTAACTTCTGCTTACTCACCAGGTGAGTCGATCGTACTCACTTTCGTCCGATGTATCGAGTTGTCAAAAATTGAGTAAACGAGAAATGTCAAACTGAGTAAAAGCCACTCAGTAAGCAAAATCCTGGACTTGGAAAAATGCCAGTCATTTCGGAGGTAACCTCACAAAAAATGTTAAGTAACCGGCTGAAATGCCTTCAGGTAAGTACGAATTGCTTAGGGAAACGGTGTTGAACCATTTTCTGCTCCGGTAGAATGAATCAGGAGCAAGCAATTTCCATTTCCTAGAATATAAATCATAAACAAAAACCCTCCCCGCAACTGAAAATATCGGCGAGTGGATTTGACTCAGTCTACGTGAGAACGCCGTTTACTCAAAAGTGAGTGAAAGGCGAGGTGAAAGGCTACTCAATTTTGAGTAGCCATACTTGCCACTGAGATGAGTACATTCGACTCAATTTTGAGTTGACCAGAATAAGCGTGTAGGTTCAGTTTTGACCGCTCTGGGTGGATTATACCCAAATTTGGGTAGTTTTGAAATGGCGTGTACATCAACAATGCAGGATGCAGCCAACACTCTTAGCTACGATTACGTAAAATTATCGGTAAAAAGTTATCGGTATTTTTTACCGGTAAAAATTGTTACTTTTTACTTTAAATAGGCTATTTTTTACTATAAATTAGGTATTATTTAACGTTAATTATTGGTAATCCATGATTACCGATAATATAGGTATGTGAAGTTTCTTCGATTATCGGTAATTTCTACCGATATTTAGGTATTCTTTACCGAATTTAAGGTATGTGTATCTTAGCGTGAAGTTTCAAGTTTTTTTGTTACCCATTACTGAGTAAAAAAAACACATTTTTTGACAGGTATACTACATTCTTAATATCAGTGCCAACATTTCAAAGGGGCGTAATTGCTTTTGTAAACAATGACTTTACCCGTAAATTTCTCGCGAATGAAATCTTACCTCTCCAAAATAACAATGCTAGCTGGTAAAGGAAACATTCCTCTACCTGCTGGTGTCATTATTTTTCATGAGTGAGCTTTTATTCGCGAGAAATCGACGGCTAAAGCCATTGTTTACAAATACAATTACGCCCCTTTGAAATGTTGGCACTGATATGTGTATTTAGGTTGCCTGTAAATGAATAATTACCAATTCGCGATATATTGCACGTAAAGTTGACTATGGTTCGCATTTACGCCACGTGCACGGTAACTTGACGGTAACCACCGTAAACACATTAATGAATAAAAAAAATTAAAGTTGACCGACAACGCAAAACCATCCGTGGACCTTACTGACTACCATAACCATTACCATTAAAATTCTCAAACCATAAGTAAAAAGGTTCTGATATAGTTCTCTTTCCGAAAATGTCTGAAGAAAACAACTATTTTGAATGATAACAATACATAATACAAACGTTCACGTAACATTCCATAACCATTTCAGTTAAAGTCACCTCACTCGCGGCGCTGAATATGCCTCAATACCTTCCCCGGTTCAACATTACGCGACCTCAGCCCCGTAACGTGGGTAGATCACCTTTTCGTGGTACGTTACGGGATGTATATGGTATTTGTTTATTAGGGTATGCAAAAGTGCTTATTTAGTCAAAGTCTACACATCCAGAAAATTTTATTAAAATCTGAGAGGGTGCTGCCAGCTTCGATTCGATTTGACGCGAAATGCGTCTTTAGACTTCTCATATCTGATATTAATACCTTGTTCACATTACAACGTATATCACGTGATATACGCTGTCTTGCAATGAGCACTCATACATCTAGTTTTCACTGGAAATCCTGTGTATGAGTGCTCATTGCAAGACAGCCTATATTACGCTGTAATGTGAACGGGGTTTAAATTAGTAAGGACTAGAAATACTCAGACAACGGCGCCGGTGGTGTAGTGGTAAGCGTGATTACCTCTCACCCCAGCAGGCTTGGGTTCAATCCCAGTCGGCACCGCCGAGATGTTCTGAGGCATAACATCTCTGATCCACGCTCTGATCACGCCTTCCTTCGGATGGGAAGTAAAGCCGTTGGTCCCCGGTTCATGAGTTGATGGGTCGATAGGTAGGGTCCAGGTGTGGGAGCTGCCTTCCTGGCACATCGGTAGCATTGGTGCTCAGCACGGAAAACAAGATCGACGGAAAAAACAAACCAAAAGGAAAAAAGTAGATGGGTCTGTGCCTAGGGGCACGAACGGAAGCTTGACGTAGGACCGCTAGTGGACGGCATAAATGTGAAAAGCATTTAGTTCTTTTAATTGATCAATTATCTATTATCTCAACTCTTTCCGTTTTTGAATTGTAGGCTTACCAAATTTGTAGTATTGTTTTTTTCAAAGAGAAAGTTGATTAAGAGAATCAATCAAAATCACTTGCACCCGTGCTTCCAAGTTTGGTTACAATATTACAACTCTGGAGAGCATTTTGTGTGGTCGTTGGGGGCTTCTGGTTCTGAATATGGACAAAAAGCACAGATAAATTCTATTCCAACTCTTTACTGATGTAAGCTTGATGGCCCTGAAAAGGGCCGTTTTATTGAAGAGGACATCCATGGTCACTTACGCTTGGCGTGTGTAGGTGACAGCATCACGGATCTCATTTTTCAGGAACACCTTCAGAACACCTCGTAAATCAGACCGGAGATACGTCAGCCACCGCCACGGCGAGCCAGACGACGGATGGTGGTTATCTCGAAGAATTTGCGTTTGGTTCTGAATATGGCGATGAATGTGCAAAATATTACGCAATTCCATCCTCCCTATTCGCACGCGCCCGAGGATCGGAGGCGAATGCCACTTCGACTTGTTTCGTCTACTAACTACTCTCTGACGACTGTGCTAGGGAAGCTGCATATGCATGTAGGTAATTGGTGGATTTGTTAGTTAATTCGACGCTTTTGGACAATGCTGGTCATTTACCAGTTTTTCAATAGTTTTTGTTAAAAATCAACATTTGGAAGCATTGTTATCGATGCGTAGCCATATTTCTGATCGATTGCTGATAAAATTATTGAAATTGGACCAGGGGTAGCTGAGTTATTAACGTTCAAAATCTTTCTTAATTTGTTACATGTTCCATTTTCGGTTTTCACAAAGTGTACCCCCATATAGAAATCAAAGACGTAGTCCTACGTCAAAAAAAATAGAAATACTCAGAGGGAGAGATGGGCGGAGAGAATGTTTTGAGCCAAATGAACTGTCAAAATCTGAGCCAATCGAACATTCCAATTGGAATTTTCCGAGGATTTCTTATTCTTACTAGAATAAATTTGAGAGGATTGCAATCGAACAGAAATTCAATCACCTTTATGTTTTGTGTGCTTCTCAAATTCAACTAGTTTGTGGATTCAAAAACAATTTTCTAACTCAATTGATTAATTCAACTATACTTGAAATAGTGGCGCCGGTGGTGTAGTGGTAAGCGTGATTACCTCTTACGCCAAAAGGCCTGAGTTCAATCCCACCGGCGCCACCGGGATTTTCTGAGGCATAAAATCTCTAATCACGCCTCACGGGAAGTAAAGCCGTTGGTCCCCGGTCTATGAGTTGTTAGGTCGATAGGTAGGGTTCAGGTGTGGGAGCTGCTTCCCTGGCGTCGGTACACGGCGAATGAGAACGACCCAAATTTGAGTTTAATTCACTCATAATCGCCAAAAGTGCAGGAACTCAGCGATGAGTAAAATTTGTCTCATGTTTTTTCCAGGGAAACATTCCTGAATTTGAGAAAAGTAAAGATTGGATTCACTAAGTCTATTGGTACTACTCCGAGACTGAAGCGAGATTCAGACTATGAACATAGCGACTATAATTGGTACTCAGTACGGAAAAAAAAGATCGCGAAAAACAAATCAAGGAAAAAAAAACTATACATACTTGAAAAGTTCTACCAAACACTAAATGAAGCCGATTTTATTTAATAATAGATTTTATTGAACCTTCTCTCAGTAGCATCGCACTTATACTTCAGGATATATTACATTTACTCAGTTGGGCATTCAATCGCACCGCTGTTGATGTCGTCGATAACTTCATGTGGCGCACGGCTGTCGATCGTACAGCCAACGCTGTGAGCCGTACCCAGCACCTCCTTGCAGGTTCCAGACAGTTCGCGAGCCATCGAGCGAGGTCGCATCACTCGGGCAATGCTGATCACTTCATCGAAGGTAATGTTACCATTGTGCTTGATGTTCTTCACCTTCTTGCGATCACGTGGTGGTTCCTTTAGAGCTTTTACAATCAGGGAAGCAGCCGATGGTACAACGGAGATTGCTGCTTGTCGGTTCTGGATGGTCAAGCAGACAGTGATCTTCAGACCCTTCCAATCTCCGGTGGCCTTAGCAATATCGTCACCAATTTTCTTGGGAGACTAAAATGAGAGAAGGATTATAGAATAAGTACCTATTAGCAGTTTGGTAAATCTTATATGGTCAACAATCTGTGGCAAAAGCGTTAATTTTTAAAGTTCTTCAGAAATTATACAGACCAGTTGTAAGCGTGCTAATATCAACCGGTGGAAACTAACGATTTTAAATTGGCTCACTACTTGACTAGCCTATTGGTCCCAAGCAAATCGATTAACATACCGCCTACACGGAACCAAATTTTGTTCATTTAAATCAAAAATATAAATGTTCATTCTATAAACATATGAATAATTCAAAATAAATTAAAAACATGTTTGCAACAAAAATATATATGTTTGAATTAAAGTCAAAAGCATGTTTATTTCAACAATATAGAATTTGGGTAAACGATTTTTAGCGTGCCCTGCCTTTTTTTCCTTCTTGTTTACATTCGGAAAAAAAATGCCCCAATCAACTGAAAACGGCCCGCAACAAAACCGAAGTCATGGATTCGGAAACCCACCTAGGTAAGTGTCTTAACAAAGTTCCGGCTCGATAAAACCGGAGGAACCCCAGCGGTATCGACGTCACTCTGTCGTTTCTGATGCCGATCCTGTATCATCCTCCTCCACAACTGACGTCGAAAGAAAAACGAAAATCCGAAATAGATTTTGAATCTATTCCGGATCCTCCAGCCCCCCCTCCTTGAACACCAAACGTAGAAAGAGGCCGGCATGAGGACCAGCGTTAGAAACGACAAAACGACGCTGATATCACAAAGTTTCACTGGTTTTACTGAACTGAAACTTCCGGACACTCACCCCGACGGGTCCCCGCATCTCGGACCAGGACCCAACATCCACAGCTTACCCTTAATCGCACCCGAAAAAGAGCAGGAGCTTAGATGCCTTGTCTGCAGATCGTTTTTTCATCTCTTTGCAATCCATTTTTTTTGCTTTATCCTGCTAATATAATTTAAAATTAAGTATGTTTCTTTCAAACATAAGAAGCATGTTTAAAATAAACATATTTATTTTTGTTCACATACTTGTCAAACCAAACAAAAATATTCACGTTTATTTTCAACACGAATATTTTTAAAATAAACGTAACATTATTTTTATTTTAAACATTAATATCACATGACTTCAAACATGGAATACGTTTGAAATAAACCTTGTTTATTTTTGTGGCCAGAACAAACTGAGTTTACGTTTAAATTTACCTCAAATATTTTTGTTTCAACGATAAGTTTTTCTGCGTGTACTCATCACAGTATACTCACAGATGGCGGTAGTGTTTTAGCGACGATGTTTATATTGAAAAATATTCAATGAGTTATGTCTGTTTGTCTGTGCTAAAACGGCTAAAACACTACCGTCATCTGACGTGTGATGGGCAATACACTTAAAAGGTGGCTGTAGTGTGTAAACGTCAAACGCAAGGGAATTGACTATGCGCGCCACAGGTACCGGTACTACCAACTAACACATTTAAATTGACCGTTAAAAGCGATTTCGATTAACATTTCAAGAGTCTTATATCTGCTTCTCTGTGGTAATACAGCCTTGAATAATGAACAAATTAAGCCGCAGAAATCAGTAATACCACGTACAGACTATGGCTTATATCATATAATATAGGCTTTCTTGCAATGAGCACTCATACATAGGATTTTCAGTGAAACCTATATGCATGCGTGCTCATTGCAAGACAGCCTATATTACATGATTTAAGCCATAGTCTGTACGGGGTATAAGTTGCAGTACAATATTCTTCATGGAAATATATTCAGCGTTCAGAATCATAACGGCCCAACTGCGATGACCGACTCTCTTCATCTATTTTCTTTTTTGTTAATAACTCGGGTGACTTCCCATTTTTCGATGCATTTGATAGCTAATACATCGATTTAATACACTGTATTGGAACAATTTCGGAAAATTGGTTCACTTAACTGTTGCAATGCGAACAGAAAATCGATGAAGAGAATCGATCATCGCAGTTAGGCCCTTATGATTCTGAACGCTAGGTGTATATTATTTGCCAAATACTTGGGGGTTGTGCAGATTATACTCAAAAATATGATTCCTCAAATACTAGGAACCCAAATTTATCCAAATCATGTCAAAATTTTACCTGATAATAGAGATGCCCAGCAGAGTATCGTTGAACAAATGAATTACAATCAACTCTTCAGAACTCAATATCGAGTTATAAAACTATAGTAAAAATTAATAATTAATTTCATGGCTACTGTGATAACTATTGTGTATGGGATTGTTATTCTATAACTCCATGGCTCCTTAAATATCGAGTTGTAGAGAGTTCAGTGTACTAATATCTATTAAGTTTATACGACAGGCAAACATACATAACACTCGTAAGTTGTTCATCGAACACGCATATAACGGTCAATTTAAATGTTCCTTAGTTGGTAGTACCATAGAGGTAACTCTAAAACGCCGGCCAGACTGGCGAGTTATAACATGTTATAACGGTTGTCAAATAATTGCAACACAGAAACCACCATCAAGATAGCGCTATAACATATTATAACTCTGTAGTCTGAACGTACTATTAGATTTGAACCGTGTTCATCTGCGTGAGAGCCAGCTATAATATAGGTTACTTTATGCATCACAAGTTAAAAGCATGTTGATTTATGATGATCACTAGAAACCAAATTATATGAATAAATTACATTTGACGGTTGTTATAATTGATCAAAGTTATAGTTGAATTGAGTATAAGATGAACAGTTGAATCTATTAGGTAGATATGATTAAGTTGACGGTTGAATTAATGTTGAAATAACTATAGGTTTCTTTCAAACAACAATCTTTTTCCACTTGAAAGTAACTATTAGGAAAGTTATCTTAACTTAACGAATTTGTTCTCCGTATATAATTATTCTTATTATATACTTATTCAAGCGAGTCCTTACTTATGACCGGTAGTATACACGTTTTGAATTTTATTGCAACTGGAGTATTTACAATGAATGGCTAGCATCGAAAAATTACATTTGCCTATTTTTGTTCAAAACAAAATCATTTTTTCCATAATTTTACGTAAACAATGAAGTATTTAATGAATTGATAAATAATACTGACGAAGTTATCTCCAACGAATTATGGACATGTATGGACACTTACATAGACATTTTAGTAATTAGCGTAGAATAGACAAAAAAAAACTACATTGTGATGATGGATTTTTAATTTTTTCATTATGAAGTAGTAATAGTAAAAAAATAACTGAATAGTCTACAATGGTTTGAGCCTCTCGCGCGGAATTCAGATAAAAATAGCTGGAAGTCGTTTTCCTGGATTTAGTCCTGGCACTGCAGGAGCTTATACGTGTAAATTCTAGGTCACGTGGAAGTATTGTCGAAGATTATACTTGGACTCTTGATAGCTAGGTTACACCTGTAAATGTTTTTGGTTGTTGCCTATAGAATATTTAACAGGGAATTTATATCTGTAATTGAAACCAGCTTGTTTTTGTTTGCAAACCTGGTTAAAATGTTTATATTTAATTATCTTTAAGATAATTCGTCCAGCTCAAACTTGTAGGGATAAGAGGTTGGACCATCATCATCAATTAATCGAATAGAACGTAGAGAAGAATTAAAAAACTGAGATTTTTAAAATCAATTGAGCACACATCGAATAGCCATGTTTTCCATTGTTTAGAAACCAAATCACACACTAACAGACCTTGCACCTGAAGAATTTTAATTTATTTTCTTTAAAGTTCTTGAATTTAAAAGAAGAACGCAACTATAGTATTTGTAAACAAACTTACCAGACCAAGTGGACCGATCTTAGGAGCCAATGACGAGGTGGCACCGACTTCCCCACCGACACATCTCAGGTAGACTAAAAATCAGAAGAAATATAATTAAATTTCCATTCAAAACAGACAATTATTGAACTTGCTAACATCCAATAGTACAAACATAACCGTACAACGCATCTGGGGGTGCCAACAGGAGTTTACTCTGAGGGCGAAGACCGTATGCGACCATAATTGTTTCTTGTACAAAAATCACTAAAATCGAAAAATTCATGGAAACCACAACAAATTCTTAACGTACCGTGTTTAATCTCATTGGGATCGAACTTTGGTGGCATCTTGGTGAATAAAACAGAGAGTTTTCGATGAAAACCTACTTCACAACTTTACAAATGTGTGTTCACACAATTGTTAAAGATGCCGGAAAGAGAGAGAGACTACCTTTGACAGACAACGCTTTGATGGATCAACTTCCGGGTGACTTTGTCAAAATGTAAGGTTACCAAAAATACCATAGCTAATGGATAAGATAGTTGTCCGGTTTTAAGTTCGGTAAATTGAAAAAGCCTTTCCACACACGGTGTTTCGCGAAAATCCCTGCACGGTGTTTCGTGAAAACTCATTAATGGGTATAAAAATCCCACATAAACGTGAACAATAAATTGACCTTACCGATAATGGTTATAAATTGTTTATAATCCCTCCTTAACTTTAACTGAAATGGTTTTGGAACCTTACATGAACGTTTGTGTGATAAAGTTTTAACCTTATGTATTATGGTTTTTAGGAAGCGGACCTTACAAATAATGGGTTGTTAAGAACCATTACCATTTCATTCTTGTTTTCTCCATACATTTTCGGAAAGAGAACTATATTAGAACGTTTTTACTTATGGCTTGAGAACATTAATGGTTATGGTTATGGTAGTCAGTAAGGCCCATGAATGGTTTTGTAACATCGATCAACTTTATGTGGAATATATCGCGAATTAGTAGCCTGTAAATTAATAATTATCAGTTCGCGATATATTCCACGTAAAGTTGAGCGATAATACAAAACGATTAATGGACCTTAATGACTACCATAACCATAATGGCCACCACCCTTCGACGATCGCTCATTGACAAAATTCATACACGCAGAGAAATGGATTGCACGTTCAACAAAATATTGGGTCAAAATCAACAAACATGTTTGTTATCTGAGGGCTAACAAACAATGTTGTTGATTTCAACCCGGTATGTTTATTGATTCTACAATCGTGATAGTTATCACCACCACTAGATATGATTGTCGTTACAACAATCTTTTTTGATTGGGTCCACAATCATGTTTGTTAAATCAATTATATTGTTTAGTTGAACTGACAATGGTACACACTAAGATGTTTTTACAGTATACTGTAATTTTTTACCGAATATGGAACAGCTGAACATTCGGTAATCCATTCGGTATTTTTTTATTTACAATCTGTTCTGTAAATTTTCTTCGCTTGTGGGCTGTCAAAATTTACTGACCTGGATTGTAAATTTTACTGAAAAATCGGTAAAGTTTGCCATAGCGTTCAGTATTCAGTATTCAGAATAGACTGTACCGAGGACTTTACTTTATTTTCAGAATAAATCATAAACATTGTAATTTTTATTGATTAATTAACTGTTTCTTTTTTTTCACCAAGCCAAAATATTCATTCCTTTTAACCATATATTTTGAAGAGGCATTTCCATCTTGCGTTCGTACAGAAGATTATTTTTAAAAAAAATCAGTGAAGAACCCGGACGAGGTTATCGACTCAGTAGCAAACCGTGCTAAAATGCAGTTTCTGCGGTAGAGGAGGTCATTTAGTTGCCTAACGTCCATGGTGTCTGAAATAAATTGGACCAGAAATGAAAACTAATTTTATTTTCAGCATAAATTGTACGGAATCTAACAAAAAGTAAAGTACTTACGTTTCACAACGTAAAACCGAAAAACACTCAACATCGAAATGGCAACCAATATTGAGTTTGATAGTATGAAAATATGTTCAGTAACTTTTTCAGAATTCGGTACTTTATTGCTGTTTGTTTTGTAAAAAATTATTTTTACAGTCACAATTTTTACAGAATTTTGGAATCGCAGCCTTTTACAGTATCGATTCGCAAATTTGATTTACAGTTTTCGGTAAATGTATGTAAATTACGAAAATTCAGCAGTTCTAATTGCGGAAAACTTGTTAAATAATATTTTTTGCAAAGCATTCGGTAAAAATTACATTTTACCGAACAAATCCAGCAAAAAAAGTACCGAATAAGATTTAAGAAATTTGGTGTGTAGGTTAGTTGAATTAACAAAATTTTTGTTAACTTAATAATGTTCGGTAAGGACTTTTTTGCTCACAAAGAAAAGTTCGTGTTTTGTTTTTTTTTTGATTTTTTATTGTTATTCTATATTTACATTCAAATTACTTTGCTGCCTTGTCCTTACGTGACAGAAGCTTGAGGTCGTACTTTTCGATGATCGATCTTCATTTTGCAGAGTGAGTGAGTAGATAGGTTGCCGTACACTCTTCTCGAGATACTGAGGTTTTCTCAACGTGTGCGACAGGAGCTGACATGTGTGACAGGGTTGGAAGACCCTGAAACATGAAAAAATATACCTGTTACTACGCTGAATAGGAATTGAGGGGGAATTGCAATAACAGTTTTCAAGCGATGTAAACAATGGGTTTAAATTGACGAGTTGGAGTACATGTTTGGCAATACATGTTTATTCCATCCACTTTATGCTACGTTATAAGTGGTTAAAAGTCTTAAGTTATCTGTTAACACATACCTGATTATATCGCCACTGGTTCAGTCCGTGGATAACCTTAGCACTTTCAGCACAAACGAAGTGACAGACGGAGCGGCTCGAAATTTGATTTGACGCACTTACATTTGAAATTTTCGAGTGTACCTCACAGCAACACTATCTACTCATACGTACTAGCTTAAAGTAGTTGATGCTATTGATTGTACCGCCTGTTATCTCTTTTTCTCTAACGAAAATTGAAAGGGAGAGCCTGTTGTCAGACAGCATGACATTATGTTGCTTTCGTTGTTATCTGGGCCAACATTATCAGGGGTGAATACTTAGGGTTAACATTTGCTTATAAGTAAACGATGTTGAGCTGTCAATGACTCGCGCGTGTTGGCGGCAATTGTTGCTACAGATTTCATCAGTCCGTGCTTCTAACCAAAGCTCGCCAAAGCCACAGTCATCCGCGACCGAGAAGACATCGACGATTATTTCAAAAGAAAAATAGTTAGGTAGCTTGCTATTAATTTTTGAAATTTAAATTTCTTTTGTTTTGTTTGGTTTTTCTTCTACTAATTATTTATTTTATTCGACACACTGTTCTTTCCGTCGCGTAGTTCTATTTTAATGCTACTGTAATGTAATTCATCAGGGCTATCGAGCAGCTAAATGTGTTCCAACATGTCGCTCCAGTTGATGATACTGATGTCATCCAGAGGACGGCGCGTGGTGGCGTGACACTTTAGCAACTCCGTATAATCGCATTTGGAAACGCCTTTTCCGGATCCCGTAAAATAGGCCTATCCAAGCGACAAGTCTCGGCATCGATGCGAATTATGTATTTTAGGTACATCACACAGCTTCTTCTTCATCGCTTCCCTTCTGGCATAAAGGGAGGATCTCATGGATCAGCATTGGGTCATAAGCAGGTCTTTGTGGGGAATGGTATTTGATGCCTTATGGGGAAATTTATTCGATCGCTTCGAAAGTTATTCATGGCACCTGGGAAACCTTGAGTCAATAAAGCGCTTGGTACGGTACTTTATTTAAAAAGATATTGAAACAAGTAAATAAGTATGTGTGTTATGAATGTTTATACCCGCTATTCTCAAAAACAAAAGCGCTCTGGTGGAATCCATTTTTTTCTTTTTTCTTTTATTCGATAGGCCAAAGTGCAGCGCCATTGAATATCAATGCGTTCAGAAGCAGTGTTAGATTTTAATCTTTTGCAAATCTACCGCTACGAATGAAAAGTCAAATAAATTTAAAAGTGATGTTCGATACAAACATTCTATTATTTGTTAAAACACGTTCGTAAAAGAGAGAAGAGTGGGTTGCGCTTAGTATAACGGAAATGTGATATTTAACACTTGCATAAATTATCTTTTAATATTTTGGGGGAAATCCATTCCAAAAAATGTGAAAATATGATCATCTACATAGAAATGTCCAGACTTCCCGCATATGTCGAACATTTTCAAAATGGCTGAAAGTTATATGTTTAACTCTCCGAGCCCCACACAAATCATACTTTTCACTATTTGTGTAATATCTTCGGTAAATTTTATTGTATTTTTTATGTTGTTATCTTGTTGGAAAGGGTATATTAATGTTACGTTTTGATAGTTTGATTGAGCATAGCACAATTTTTTTGGTTTTTCAGTTTTTGTCGAATCGGTAGACATGTCGTTTCAGCAAGTTGAAGTTGATCGGTTTCTCAATGTGATTGGTGAGGCGGAATGAAACAAGTCAGCTCTTTCACCACAAACGAAGTGACAGACGGAGCGGCTCGAAATTTGATTTGACGCACTTACATTTAAAATTTTCGAGTGTACCTCACGACAATACTATCTACTCATATGTACACTGAACCAAGACACCCGCAAGACTTCGAATGATTATTGCATTGCTCGAGCCCTTTAACAATATGCATTCGAATTTCGGATGATTTTCTTATGGTTGAATTCGTCGTCAGATGATGAACATCCATATGACTGTCTTCCAAATACAGGATGATTTTCGTTTGAAAATTAGCTATAAAACATACGGCAATCAGAGGACAAACATTTAAGAATATTGTGACATGCAAGTGCTTTTAATTAGATTTATAATTTGATTATCTACATTTCTAAGCTGAATAGCCATAATAAGCCATTCCATTATGGATACAAATTTTTTTTCGTGGTGAAGGAAACCTCCACCACGAATTAGCCAAACATTGGTTTTCATCCTTTACCTATGTTCGAAACAGCTCTGATAGCGATGCATATGTTTCCACCTCTTTTGTCAGCTCAGATCAGCAAATGACATTCGATAGAATTATTTACATCATCGTTTTGAATGATTTGCGTTATGGGGCTGAACCAATACCATATGCATTTCCATTTAGTATGACAGTCATTCTGAAGAGAGCATTACGCACTTCAACTGAAGGCCCTATCCCTTCTCATAACAATTTTCATCCTGTATTCTAGAGGAAAATCATCTGATTTCAAAACAACCGTCATCCGTTGCAGGTATCATTCGAAAAAGCGATTTCGGTGATTTGTTTTGAATGGTCTGAGGTTTCATTCGATCAGAGGATGATGTTTGTGTACAGTGTACTAGCTTAAAGTAGGGGGAACCACCTGTTATCTCTTTTTCGCTAACGAAAATTG